TGGCGCATACCAACTTCAGGCATAGTTTCTCATCCTCGTCAGCCACTACATGAAAAATCGGTACAAGTTCCTTGCAATTGTTTAGCGGATACCACACTTTTCAGAAGAATGACAAAGAATAGCATAGGAAATGCCAGTCTACTACTCTGAAATTATTAATAATGCCGTAGTCCGTACCCATAAGTGTGCTTGCAGCAGTTATTCAGTGAGTCTTCAGAAAAGTCTCTGAAAGGCCGCTGTTCTAGCTCTTCGCTGTGACTACGCTGCGCCTTTGGCTCAAACCTGGCATTTTTTTGTCCACCGCAAAAGCAGTGAAAAACAGTCAAGTCGTTCCACAAAACAAGATGGTCGTTCTTTCTGCCGATAAAGGAAACGTGACAAAAGGGCTTGACCACTCAACATATAACTCTAAGATGGCGGAAATAGTGGAGAACTGCGCAACGTACATCAGGGTTGACAGGGATTCAATCTTGACATTCCAAACAGGCCTGCAAAATACGATCTATGTTGTTTTGGATGTGAAGCTGAGCTCATATTGGTGTGCAGGGTTACCACCCTTACTGTGCATGCGCCTCTCCTCGCTCTCTCGCCTCGCAGCGCAACGCAGGCAGCGTTTGCAATACTGCGCTCCGTCTTCCTGTGTCTTTCTGGCATTCCTAGCCGCTGCGTTTACACTCCGTTGCGCATGCGGGCCCCCTCTGCCTCCTCTTCAAGACTCTACAGATCTTTCCCCTCGCAACGCCGATGCAGGCAGCGCCTGCTTGCGAGGTTCTTGATTGAAAAAAAAAAAACAAAAACAAAAAAAAAACCCCGACTGCTAACACTGCACAACCGTTCACTGGCCACCCCATATATATAGGCAATGGACGAGAGGTAGTCAAGACAGCTGTCGAGAGTCAGCCTGATATGGTATTGGCTTTGAGATCGAGCAGAGTCGCCGCCTGGCAGCAAGTGTCCGAAACGGTGATGTGTGGATTGCTCCTTGCGTCGTCTGCTAGCCATGTCGTGTTTCTATGTGCGCGTACGTCAATCACTTTCTCGAAGTGTGGTGTTTTTGGTTATGTTAGCGGGAATGTAACTGTTTGTACGTGTCTTAAATCACGTACAAAAGCATTTGGTCTTGATCAGTGGCTAATGCATTGCAATAAGATCGGTGAGTGCAACTTTCCAGAGTGCTGTTTATTGTCGTCATACCCTTCATTCACCAGAATAATTTCAGAGTGGGTGTCACTATCTGTTCCAAGCACATCGCAAAGTGCTCTTGGCATCCTGCCAAAAATGAGGACTAATAAATGTTGTGTGAATGCACAAGTTATAGTGACTTAGTTTTAAAAAAAACAGGCTCTAGGCCATGCACTTATGTGCTGTTGGTGGGTGTACAACTACGGTACTTTAGTTTATCGATCTTGCGAAAAGCCTTAGTTGTGTTTATCTGGCCGTGATACTACTACATAGAAATAATATTATCACATAAACTGTCAGACTTTGTTACACGGTACCTAAAATAGAGTTGCCATGCACAAAGGTGTGCTTAGATTTAGAATGCTTTAAAGAGCCCAGTCGTTGATAATTCAGAAGACATGCCCTATATATAATGTCATATAATTTCACTAAAACTTGCATGTTCTTACATTGTTTTAGCATTTGCGTGGCATTGTTAGTGACCGATGGAAAGCAGTGGTAATGTTTTGTCTGAAATTAAAAACATGTTTGTCCCGTTAATCAGGGCTCTGTTGTAGCACCGTCATGCACGTATTCCATCGATGAAAGCTTTCTGCTTAACTCCTATATAGGATTTTTACTGGTGCAAGAACATGTGCGTAGATGTGATAAACGCAGCGTAGCGTAAAGCGCCGTCAACCACTAAGCTTTCCTGACTATACTTATCGACTGTCTCATATTTTATAGTGAACATAATGATTGATTGGTGGTACTGGACAAATCGCACAGATATGCAGGCATTTTTACCATCTTTTTTTCTCTCTTATTTAGAGTATGCAGGTAACGAAGCTGTAAATGAGTAGTTTGGTCACGCTACAACAGTGCGCAGCAGGCCGAACACAAACTACGTACAAACAACACTAGAAAGGCGTAATTTAGTGCAAAACCATGAAGAGCCACCCAGGGCGAGCATTCCTAGAAAGGCAGAATGCGTTTAACTCCGGGTAATATAACCGTTGCATAAGCGTGGTGCACACATTCAGCAGAGAAAGCATAGATATTAACAGTGAACTGTAGGCAACGCATTTTATTCGTCAACAATCGGCTCAGACTGCACGCAAAGACACGCTGTTGCATACGTTTGTATACGTGCTGCCGACGGCCTATCCAAACTTGACTGAGGACGGTGCTACCACCTACAACCCGATATCGCTGCGAATATCTGAGGAGCTTTAATGAGAAGTTCTTGTTGTTACTTGGAAGACGCTCTTTTTCGGGTCTTTTGCGATTTCTTTCATGAGGATAGCTTCCAGGTTTTCCTTAGAGAATTACCGCCACTCCTCTCGAATCATGGTCTTTTTAAGTGTTTCGTAGGGGAGTGATGCAATTTTGCAATTTTGGGTCCCAACCATCTTTTTTGTTAGCTCAGGAACGTGCAATCAAGAATGGCGAAGATAATATACAAAGTTACCAGTTTTACTCTCAAGATTCGAGCACTTGTGTCGGGTAATGCGGTATTGCACTCACAGAATTTGAGGGGGTACTGCAAGAGCAGAGGGCCTGCGTTACTTTCCCTAGAGTGCTCCGTGGGGGAGTTGGGCAGAGTTGTTCGTGGAACATACTCTTTCGCTGATTGCAGAATAAAAGAGACTGCAAACTCTCTGCTACTCAAGTGGAGTTCCCAATCTATGCAACTCTCGTGCCGATAAGGCGTGGGATCTGGCACTCCATCTTTGCTAACGGAGTACAATCGAGCGTTGGCTTGTTACCACTTACGCCGCAAAGCAATCTGACTGTCTCGTAACCAGACGCCACTCAGCGTAGACCTCCCAGATGTAAGGATTACTTTCAGTGATAACAAACGCATGCTTTTATGATCATGAACGTTTAGTTCCTGAAGTGCCAACACCAACACTTTCGAAGCAAGAAAAACCAGCAACATCTAAAGGGTTGTCAAAAGTCAGTTTACGGCACCAACAAATTGCTACTAGAGTAAGGTAAACCTCGGCACATATTGTAAGAAAAAGTTAAAAAACTCACAACGGCGTTTGAACTTGCCACCTACGTATGATGAAGCGGGTACCCTACCTCTACGCCATGTTATTTTTTTTCCTTGTTTTATTGCCTGTTTCCAGACACTATGTACATGAATAATGTCATAAAGGTCGCAAAAACAAGTGGTGGCAGTCCTACTGAAGAGACATTACATTTAAAATTCATTGAGAGCTGTCAGGGGTTCTACTCTCGACAACCACTCAGGAACAGACTCCTTTTTTTTTGTAAGTTCCACAAATTTCGCCATGCACTTTGGAAAGTATTTTCTTACGGGTTGTGCAGCTGAATCACATCGAAATCCTGCCATACGGGCTTGCCATAAACATTGGAGGCCTGTTAACATTAATAAGTCAATTGACAAACCATCCTCATTTTGAATCGGCAGAAATCTGATGCGGTAAGTGTCTAGCGGGAATTCCTTTTTGATTGTCCTCGGCAATACACCCAAAAATACACTCCCTTCAAGCACTGCAAGTAAACGTAGTCAATGGTTTCTGCCTTCTTAAAATTGAGAGTCTGACCCCTGAGGTAGAAAGACACCCCGCTCTTCTAGAAATACGTTTTTGCGCATAATTAAACCCAAAAGTGCCGATAGCATGTATGACGGACCCGGCCGGTAAGCATGGCCTACTTTCGCTGGGAGTGGTACAATTCACAGTTACTTGGACCTGTCTCAGCACTGGTGTCTCAAGAAGGTTGATGTTTTAGCATTCCGCAAGCCTCTCATCGTTTTAATAAGGTGTAGACGTGGTAAGCAAAATTATAAGAATTGCCAGAGATGCGTTTGAATTGTGGTTTTGCCGACCAGTGTTGTTTTTCTCGTACTAGTACACACTGTGGCATTGCAAGTTGGATTGGAGGCCGGATCGTAACGTTTGTAGAATATTTTTTGGCCAGCACTGCTGATAGATCGTGCCAACTTTATTAACGCCCAAGTACAACTCTCAGGCTTGGGCACAAGTGGCTTCACTGCATTGAGCCGATATGACCGAATACCAGTTGATAATTAGAATTTAGTATTGAAAATTGCTTCGTATGACATGTAGTTTTATAATAAAAGGTTGACGTGCCTACAGAGTGCCTAATAATCACCAGACAGCTACACATGCTAGATGTATATTTGCTTTTCAAAACCGTAGTAGAAATGTAGCACCACAAACACTGCAGGGGGACTATGCATCATGATTATAATTACCAGTTGCTGTCTGTAGAGCGCGAGAGGTATATGTTCAGTGCTGCTGTTTGCTGTGTTGCGTACTATTTTATGCCGATGTCCGTCCTGCATATGCAACAAAAACGTGAAGCAATTTATGCAGTTAACTGTTTTTACAAAATGATCGACATAAATTTTCTAGATGTTAGTCCTAGCGTGGTAGGAGGAATTCTACTTTTCGATGGAATCGATGCACTCTAGCCCTACCAGATTGTAAAGTTCTGTGAGAGAGTAGCACAACTCCCGCAGCAACGTTACTCCCACAGAGGGTGTATGAACTCTATTTCAGAAGCACGACTGTAATCTGCCGAAAGAGCTTGTTCACTCTCGTTCAGCCGGAGTACCAGCACTTTGTCAAGAGAATGTGCTTACTCTGTACAGAAGAGAGCTCCCAGCACTCCTAAAAAAGAAGTGAAAAATGGGACAAGCCTGTGCTCCCGCAAAGAAATTTGCCAGTACTCTCTTGGGGCTGTGTGTGTAGCAATTTACGTTAGCGATTTGTTGCTTATTTATATGAGCTTCTGTATCATAAGACGTAATCGCTTTCTATCAATGCTAAGTGTTGGCCTCCATGCCTAAGGGTGTGAAACGAGTGCTGAAACTTTTGCAGGGCGTGGCACTTGGCAAAGGTTGGCTGGCGGTTGCTTGTGCTCCAGGCCTCTTGAGGCTCTTCACTACAGCCGGCGTCCAGCTTTCTGTGTGGTGCTTGCCAGGGCGTCACGTGGCGGCAGTGGGCAACGACCAGCAGCTCGCTCTCTTTCACCAAGCCGCGCTGGCAGGTAAGTAATGGGCGTGTTCGTAACCAGCGTCGGTTGACCCTCCAGTGTTCACAGGTCCTGATGGGCGCCAATCCATCGCTGTGCAGCGGTACGTGGCGCTGTCAAGAGCTGCGGCGCCTGGTGCATTGTTGGGGCCACCTCTGACACTCTGGATACGGCCAGGCTCCACCATGATCTGGGCAGGGTCAGTTTTTTGTGACGTGGAAATATCCTTGCGTGATCATTATAACTTCGTTTGAAAGAAAGGGGCAGATATTTGTGCTAGCAGAAAAAGAAAATGTGCACATCAGTCATAAGAGAAACAGGTATAACTTGCCGGCCTGTCAGTATCGAAAATACGTGTGAACAGTAGGGCGTGTTGCCGCTGCATAATTCGAAATTGTAAAGAAGACGATGGACAAAGAAGGATACACGCACACGCAGGGCAGCGCTCTCGTATGTCGTCTTCTTTGAGCCTTCCATTTCGAATAGAATCTTAGATACTTTCTGAGTATCTGATATCTGTATTGTGATACCTATCGCCAGACGAGTATGCGTAATTCCAACACAACTACTGATGTATCGTGTGTCGTTGAATACATGATAATGCTATAGCAAAACCCGCAAGCGAAACATTCAACGTTGGCTCAACTGCGTTCCTCAACATGATACTGCTGCCGTAAGGTGCCAGAGTACAGTCACATTTGGCTATCTTTGCACCAGCATCCTCCAGTGAGGGTGGGTGTGGAGATGTGCACTTCGCCATTGGTTGAGTAGAGTCATGGGGTGGCTTATCTCGTTGTCTCCACGAAATATTTGGAGTATGTTCCGCTAAAAAAACCATGTCTGGTTGCGAAGTAGTGGGCGCTAATGCTTACACTGGCAGCGACACTGACGCTGGCGCTCATCAAGCTAAAGCCAAGTAAAGACCTCCTTGACTGAAATCCGAATGCGTGATCCAGTGCCTACATATACAGGGTGGCCAGTGAATGGTTGTGCAGTGCTTACTAGCAGACGCTCCCTGCGTCAGCTTTCCGAGGCGAGAGACGGAGAGGGGAGCAACAGTTTTGCGGGTTTTTCGCTGGATTGGCACGATATGCGAGACGCGAGCATGTGCAGTCGTGGTGTACGGAGGAACAGCGTTACACAAACTAGTCAAAGAGCTTCATCTATATGGTGGTTTTTGGACGTTAAACCCCACATATCAATCAAATCAAGAACTACATCGCATTTGAAACAAATGCACGAACGTGTGCACGCATCCAACCTCTTGTTTTCTTTGTATTTTTTTTCAATACAATTGGGTCGGTGCCATAGCACTTGGTCGTAGTGACTGTGCTATTTTGCATACTTTAATGAATGCTGCGTATTTTGTACAAATTCTGATGCCACTGTATTTTCGTTATCCAACTATCGCATAGGTAGTGCTTCATCATCACTGCAAAGTCCGATGGTTACATTGCGTCTCAAAACTTCACACATCCCTGATTTGAAAAATACAGCCCCACTGCGGTGGCCTAGTGGCCTAGTGGCTAAGGTACTTGGCTGCTGACCCGCTGGTCGTTGGATCGAATACCAGCTGCGGCGACGGCATTTCCGATGGAGGCGAAAATGTAGGCCCGTGTGCTCAGATTTGGGTGCACGTTTTAGAACCCCAGGTGGTCGATATTTCTGGAGTCCTCCACTATGGCGTCTCTTATAATCATATGGTAGTTTAGGGATGTTAAACCCCACATGTCAACAATCAATCAATCATGATTTGAAAGATGTCGCTACATTCGTTCCTAAAGGTCTGTTATCGTCCCACTACACTGTCAGTAATTGTCAGCCCAAACAGCGCCTGCAGTGTTGGAGAAGCTTCAGGACTGTAGTAGGTCATTTTGTTAAGTGTTTTGTTTGGACAACGTGATCATAGAGATTATTCTGGAAACCTACGTGACCGGTAGCGATAATGCTGTAATATTTGCCGGCACATGTGGAAGTGCCGACATGCTTCACCGCTTGTGTTGATCGACGACCGACGCTGTGCTCGCCGCCATCAGTGCCAGTTTGTATTGCTGCACTCTCATCTTTAGCTTCCCGGCCACAAAAACAGCCAAATAAAAACTTTCGTCTTTGAATTGAAGACTGTTGCCAAGGAGGACATCGAGACCACGTGATAATAATATAGATGCGCTTATATGAGGTATTGCTACGTGCCCGTGTATAGAGAAGAAGGGGACAAAGCAGATAGATTGATGCGAGCTAATCAGTGTGGCTGGTGCCGCTCTCTTAACCAGCTGAAAATATATCTGTGTATATTATTTCGAGTCGGTCTCCTTGTTGTAACACATTTAGTGGAGTGGTGTGATCGTCGTCTTCGCCACCAAACTGCGATGCGGACGCTCGCTTGCAGCTTTCAACTTGAAGACTCACCTAGATCATCTCCGGTAGCCTGGCCTCCTGCCCAGCCTACCAACCCTGTGGCCGCAACAACTTTCGTGACGCTTCCAGCCCCCAAAGACCCTGGCGTGTTCTCGGGCCTCGAAGGTTTAGACATCGACCAATGGCTACGCCTTTACAAACAAGTCTGTGCGACTTTTACGTGGGACTCCATGCTCATGCTCGCAAATGTAATCTTTTATCTTGAACGAACCCTTCGTGTCCAGTTCGGTAATCATGAGCATAAAATTACCAAATCGGACAGCTTAAAAGAACAGATCCGTGAGCTTTTTGGAAACTCGTTTGGTTGTCAACAAGCTGTGAATAATGAGTTATCAACTCGCGCACAAACTTCCACAAAGCCTTTCTCAAGCGATATTTAGGATGTCCTCGTAATATGCCGCACGGTCGACGAGAACATGTCCGAGCATTAGAAAGTTGCGCACATACTCAAAGGTGTTGCCGACGATGCGTTCGACTTGTTGGTTCTCCACAATGTGTCATCTGTTGATGACATTATTCAAGAATGCCGCTGGTGCCAACAAGCAGGCGCATCTGCCATCAGTTCCAGCGCCTTCCGAGTTCCGCCGCGACGTCATCGTGTCTCCACACATATCATCCACCAGACACCCGTGGCAACTTAACGTGACTCGTCAGGTGGGAACATTAAGCAGCTGATCCAGGTAAGGTGGGACCACTGTCCCCTGAACCCTCTGCTTTAAAAACGTTGCCCCTCCTCCAAGCAGTCGTCCGGCAAGAAATTGCCAGCTTGGGAATTCGCTCTATTTCACCACCTCCTCGCACCGGTTTCCAGCCCCAATACACGCCTGCACCTCCCTTACCCACTGGCCCTTCCCCATCGTTCCATAATCCGTCTGCATGGTGAACACACGATGACAAGCCGATCTGCTTGTGTCACCGAATGGCGCACATGTCTTGCCATTGCAGAAGTCGCTTGGGTCCTCCTGCACAAGCTTCTTCTTGTATCTTCTATGTAAGTCCTGCCTATCGCCATGAGACCAGCCACGACAGTTTTGCCCAGAAACCTGCTACTGAACACCGCTACTCCCACTCTCCATCTTCCCAACGTCACCAGTCTTGTTCTCCACTGCCTTGCCGACCATCTTCTTCTGCCTTCCCAAGAGGTTCCACTATAGAAAATGCAGCCCCTGGTAGTGGTGCTGCATCGCTCGGACTGGTAGAAAATTCTTTCTTGACAATACAGACGAAATGGAACCTTATAAATGTTCAAGTAGACAGCGTGTTTGTGACTGCTGTAGCCGACACCAGTGCTCAACTTTCCGTAATGACGAGTGATTTGCGCCGCAAACTCTAGAAGGTTCTCACGCCTGCGACCACTCAGTTCGGTCGTGTTGCGTATGGCGGAAATAGCGTCTATCGAAGGAATGTGCTCCGCTCAAGTAAGCATCACGGATTGACACAAAGTATTTCTCCTCATTGTCCTTGATAAATGCCCCCTCGACATAGTCACAGGCCACGACTTCCTGTCTGCGCATTCTGCCTTCATAGACTGTTTGACCAAAACACTCTGTGTGCACGTGCCCGCAACAGAACCTCTTGCACAGCGGCTGAGTCGCCTCTGCACAACGAGACATGCGCGCCTCCCTTCAGAGACACTTACCTACGTAAAGCTCGTCTCAATACCACTAGTTCCCGAAAGTGACTATGTTCTGACCCCTATCACCGATGTCTTCATAAACCGCGGCATTACATTACCGCATACCATTCTGTCCATCGCAGGGAATTCCACGTGCCTCCCAGTTGTCAATGTTAGCTTGACACCTCAAGTGCTGCTACAAGGGATCTGTTTGGTGTTGTTCTGTACCTTGAAAGACCACGCGGTAGATTTTTTGACCATCGCCTCTCCTTCTGACCTCACGCTCAACATCAAATTGACAGCTGCTTTGAAAGCGCTATTAAGTCGATGATCGCTTCCAACTTAACGCCGCAGCAGACTGACGAGCTCCACCGGGTCCTGCTGTCCTACATCGGCGTTTTTGACCTCAGCGGCCGTTAATTGGGGAAAGCTACTGGCCCACCGCATAAACGCTGGTATTGAGCCACCGCATAAATGCTGACCCACCGCATAAACGCTGGTATTGAGCATTCTATTAGTAGACTTTTCAAAAGGGTCCATTGATCCAACAACAACCTGCACATAGTCAAATGAAAACTGACTGTAGCTCAGTCTGAATCCAATAGTAGCCAAGATTGCCACTAGTCCTAAGCAAATGTGGCGTCAAGTTCAACAATGGAAACATCTTACAGATTGTCACGTTGCGACTTCTTGCCCCTTGCTCTGTCAACGTTTCGTCAAATCCTCCGTTGTTGACGGGCTGCTCCACACTTTACGGTCGCCATTGGTTGAATGCACCGTACGAACCGCTCTTCCTCACCGCAAGTGTCCCTGTACTCGTCTCAATCTTCGCCCTCGCTAGGCTTAGCTTGTCATCGACTTTTCTGCTGACGTGTCCACTCTGCTGATTGGTGTAGGTTGCTACCGTTTTTACTCGAAGTCGGATAGCTTCACGTCCACCAGGAACTGCTGGGAAAGGGTGCGGGCGTCCGGACCGCCTCACTCACCAGCATCTCCGAGGTCGACGGCTGCTCCCCGGGTCTCGTCACGCCGACATCATTTAGAACCAGGTCGTTATGCTGCTCCCGTCGCCGTAGTGAGGCTGGTTTCCTGCGTCTTCGCACCTCGGAGCACCAACTCACAATGCCAGCGGATCTTCAGGGATTTTACAGCACCATTTATTATGA